AAAACCACGCAAGGGAAAAGGCCCAGATACCATGGATTGTACCTCTGGAAGATGGAGGCATTAAAATTACTTTCTATTCTGTCCAGGAAATGAAATGAGTTAAGAACAAGAACCAGAGTTTGGTCAAGTCACATTTAAGGGCATTCTGAGAAGGGTAGGACGACACAAAGACAAACACACCCTCTCCACTCGAGTGTGGCAACAGGATATGATTTACAAGAGAAAAATGAAACCATCATGATTGTTAGAAGAACTGAATTGCAGCTCATACAAAAATTAGCCGAACTATGAATCCCCTGAGTCACCATGCATGTGTGTGACTTCTCGGGAATAAAGAGCTCAATTGCTTAAGACTTTCTGAATGATAAGACTTCTAATAGAAAACTGGCTTTCCTGCCAAATACTCAAATATTACAAAAGAATGGAAGTATCTTTTCTCAATTAGGGTTATTATATTATGTCCTGTGCTTAGAAACTCTAGGACTACTGGAAGTTCTCATTTGACACCCTTTCTGTGGGCTTTCTCATTCATTCCTATGACTCGAACTTCTACCCTCTATGAGACTGTAGTCTCATTCAGGACTCTCCCATGAACTTAATGTCTCTACCAGGGTATCTTATTCACATGTCAAATCAATGTGTTCAAAGTTTACTGCATTGCTTTCCATCCCAAATCTGGTTCTCCTTGTCAGTATCAAGCCAGTTATCCAAGCAAGAAAAAGGGGGAGTGATCCTTTTCTCCTGTTTCTGTACTTCAATTGGGGTTATCCTGTCCTGTAACTCCTAAAAGCTTTATAAATGTGTCCCTTCCTTGTTATTTTTCTGGGACTGCTTTTGCTCTTACCATCATTTGCCTGGATTACTGTAGAATAAATTGATAGATGCCCTCCCTGCCTTTTACTATCCCAACTCCCCTTCATATTGCTCTTGGTTATAACGCATTTCTTAACAACACAAAGGCAAAGGATCCCATGCACCAAAACAAAACAAAGTCAGTGTGACCGTGTCACTCCCATACATGGTACTTTTCAAAGGCTCCCTGTTGCCTACAAGGCAAAGTTCAGACTGTTTAGCAAGTCCTATTGTGACTCTCCTCCGCTTTTTGGTCTTGTGTTCTTCCCCTATGCCCTGTGATCTAGCCAAGCCACGTCTCTTGCCATTCCCCCAGATACTTCATGTCTTTCATCCCGAGATTTGCAGTGTTTTCCTCTGCCTGCAGTGCCCTTCATAACCTGCCGGCTGAGGATTCCTAGTCTTCAATTTCCTCGTCTGTACAACAGGGGGATCATAGTGCTGATTCCAGAGACTGTCACGCGGACTGAACAAGAAAGAAGATCTTCTCCCCACCGTATCTGCGGTACAGCAGCATTCTGCAAATGTGAGTGATCACCCACTGATCCGCAGTCACTGCCATCATTATCAGTATCTTGGCTTTTATCTATTTATTTATTTTTTTTGTGGGGGGTCAAATCTGAGCAAAAACATCTTTGTTCCAAGTCTTCCCTGACTTACCTGGAAGTGTTAGGCATTCCTCCTCCCTCATTCTACACGCCTCATTATGGCACCATATTACATCAACTTCAAACTTGATGGAATGTTCAGATCTTAGCACCTGCTTTTGGTGGTACACCTTATCATTTATGACACGTTGTGGTTTAATTGCCAGCAATTTTTCTTTCTTAGTAGCCCTTGTCATAATGATGTTTCTTAAAACGAACGGCATATTTAGACATAGACTTGAAATTAACGGCATATTTAGAGATCCTATACTTAAAACTGTATAGTTGTTGTATTATACTGCATATTTATGGTGGGAAGAAAGTTCGTCCTTCAGTGAAACATCCACATAGAAAAGGTGCTACTGCTTAGAACGCTACAGCAGCCATTTGCATTTGCATGGATGAAGTAGCGCGCTGTCATCTCCTTCAGTTAAGCACCCACCCCCATCCGTGAGCCCAACAATGGCCAGGACCAGAGCAAAAGTGGGGAGGGCTAGCTCCGGAAACTGCATTCCAATAACTGAGGCTTCAAGCTGAGCAAGAACGAGAAGAGGGGAGTGAAGGAATGAGATGAGAAAGGCCAAGAGACCATGTGTCTAGACAAGTATTGACCAAAAGAAATATATTATGAGCCACATACATCATTTTACATTTTCTAGTAGCCATGCTTAAAAACTATAAGAGTCAGGTAAATTGAGATTAATAATAATATCTTATTTTAAAACCCAGTATATTCAAAATATCATTTTACTGTGTAATCAACATAAAAAATCAGCTCAACATCTTCATGTGGCTAGTGCCTGCCGTTTGTATTGGACAGCACAATTCTAGACTGATTTTGGCCAACTGAGTTTTGACCGATAAGATGACAGTGATGGGCTATTCCAACAGTGGTTCTCTTCACCACACGATATTAGGAATATTTAAGATTCCAATGGTATTACATTTTATTTTTGTATTTTAAAGTTCTGTGCAAATGGTAGCTTTCATTTAAATTCTTTCTGAGCTTTGCTTTAGCTCTTCGTGATTTCAGGTTATTTCTAAAGTCCTTCCTGACTTCCTTTCACTGCATTGGTTCAGGGAGAATGGACTCCTTTATTCAGTTGGAGTTCTTTTCTCAGTAAGACTATTTGTGAGAGAGGAACAAGGAGTGCCTGAGGTACAGCAGACTCTTGAATAAACACTTTTTTTTTAGTTTAAGTAGGCTCCATGCCCAATGTGGGGCTTGAACTCACAACCCTGAGGGTAAGAGTCATGCTCTACTGACTGAGCCAGCCAGGCGCCCCTGAATAAACATCTTTGAAGACACATTGATGGTGACCTAAGCTGGACAGCAAAGGTTCTCAACCTGGGCTGCACACTGAAATCACCTGGGGAGTAAATCAATAATGCTAAAGCCTGGTCCCACCCCCCAGAGATGCTGATGGAAGGTCTGGAGTTCAGCCTGGGTATCAAAATATTTTAAAAACTCTCCCCCAGGTGATTCTAGTCTACAGACAGGATTGAGAATCACTGGTTTTCCTAGAACATCTTACTGTGGCCACAGCCTTGCCTTTCTGACATATGGTCCAGTTTGCCTCCACTCAATTTCCTCTGTCAGAACATACCAGAAGTTTCTTGAGAAACCTAACAGAGAAGAAGCAAACACATAACCCCAAACAGTGATTTGCAAATTCCTTTTCTAAGGCACTGAAGATTTTCAAGGGTCTAAATCTGTTTGTACTTTCTCTTTCTACAACAACAACAAAAATTAAGATTCGCAATAGAAGTTTTAAGATGCTAGCTGGTTCCAAAAGAAAGGAGGATAAAGCCGTTATAGTATATAGGCTGGTAACACCTACATACATGCAGCATAGAATTTTCCAGACGTAGAATAATAACAAGAATAAAAACAGAATCTAAGTACACATGAGCTTCATTTCAAGTTAATTCTACATAGGCCAAAAGCAGAAATGATTAATTCAGGGGTCAGCAAAAGGAAATCCTTCATGCTTTTTCTTCAGGCCATTTTAGTTACATTCACATGGCATAACCCTAAAACAATGCATCTACTTCAACAAATCACATATAAAACATACCTAATCTTAGTCACATAACATACAAGGGATAGATCACTGCTCTTAGGATGGCAGTTCGTTGGATGACACTGCTTCCATCATCCAACAGTTCAACATCCAACATCCAACAGGTTCAGCAATGGCCAAGAGAGAACTCCTGACTTCCGCCTCAACACAAACAAGCACTCGTCAAGGAGGAGGGAACAATGATCTCTGTGCCAAACAACAGCTGGAACAGAGTTCCTCTGATTCATGGACTGGGAATCTTCCTGCCAATTCCCAAGGTGGTTTGGCCATACTTTATGGATTCATTCTCTTTAAATGGTCTTTTGTGGATGATGTGGTATCATGCGGCCTTATTAATAAATAGAAAGAGCATGTTGGTACCTCCCCAAAGGTTCCTACATGTCTTTCCTCTGACTTTCTAGCAAAGACATAAGCTTCCTCTAACTACCCCATGCTTTTTTTTTATTGATATAATTGATGTATAACATATTAGTTTCAGGTGTACAACACAATCATTTATGTATATATTGCAAAATGATCATCACAGTAAGTGTAGTTAACATCCATCACCACACATAGTTGCAACATTGTTTTCTTGTGATGAGGACTTTTAAGATCTACTGTCTTAGCAACTTTCAAATATACAATACAGTATTATTAACGACAGTCACCATGCTGGACAATACATTCCCACAACTTACTTATTTTATAACTACAAGTTTGTGCTGCACACTTATTTTGTTTCACAGCGTAAAGTGGATTGAGAAATCAGAATAAGGAATAACCAACGGGCATTAAACTTCCATGGTCACTAACAGAAATCAACCAAAGTTCCCTATTCTTGCCAAAATCATGGAGGAAGAACCCAGCTCCAGCTTCATAAGATTTCTAATAAGCGCGTCAATGCCGTAAGTAAGTGGTCTCTTGCGTCTACTAACCCCAAAAGGCTAACGACTGCCAAATGACTGGATGTGTGACATTCTCCTGGCCCCAATTTTCCATTCAGAAAAGGAATAAAAAAAATACGACGCAAATTTCCAAGATGCTACAATGTAAACCAGGGTTGGGATCACCATCCACCTGCTCAGGTTGACCGCAAACCTGAAAGGCATGACTGTATCAGCTCTGAACCTATTCATGTGTCAGGTAACATGTACTGAGAATCCCCTGGGGCTCCATGAAGAGACAGAGTAAAAGTCTTCCCTTAAAAGATTTATAAGAACCAGAGTAATGTTAAAGGATTTGACATATTAAGAAGGATTTGAAAGATGATATGGAAATAGCAGGACAATTCTATCTACACTGAGTACAGAACCATGGTGGGAAGGTGGACTGGTGGAATCAGCGGAACTGCTGGTGGTCAGCAGGGATGAAAGCGGTCGTGGGCCTCAGGGAAAGATCCGAGTTTCGTGTATGTGCTGCTGACGCCATCCCCTACCTTTCTGGAAGAACTCTTCTAGCTTGTCCTTGAAGGGCTGGAGGTACTCCTTTGGTGACTCCTTGCATACCACGATCATCTGTTTCTCACTGGCTGTGAAGGGAAGTTTGGAATTAGATTTGCTTAAGAACATGTATTTGCTGAGCTGCTGCTTTGTGCTATGTTCTGCAGGATTAATTGTGCAAAATCCTTATCAGTCATGATTTATCTTAATTCCAGGGAAAAAAACAAAAATGGACACAACATATACAAACACACACACAAACATAGTGAGTTCACTCCACACCTCTCTTCGGGAACAAAGAAACGCACCACTTTCAACTTTCCTTTCAGAGATGCAGAGAAAGCTCTGACTTTGGACAGGAAAAATATTATGCTTTTGGTCTCTCCAAAATTAAGGGAGGAAAAAACTACCGAATTCACAGGGAATTAAAGGCCCTGATCCTCTTCAGATCCACACTCCAGAAACAGAGCTTGAAATAGATTGTGCAGCAATTCCCAGGCATCCGAATTGCCTGGAGCCACCCACATGCCAGGAGGAGGGCCAAGCCCAGTCCAGGGAAGCCCTCATCCTACTTTCCATTCTCCCGCCCTTCCCATTAACACTCCCCTAACACATGTGAAATTGTTTTCCATGTGATTTACTTCAGAGAGAATTTATAAACACATTGATAAATTTCTCAGATATAATATGTTACTTGGAATAAAGTGCTTTTTTTTGACAACCACGCCCCCTTCAAATCAGACAGTTCTGATTTGGTGATATGGAAACCACCCTAACCCACAGTTCCCCATCACAGTGGGAATGGCTGGAAATGCCATTTACGGAGATGGGGAAGAGTGGCAAGTATGATCTTTTTGCTGGGGAGATAAGATCAAGGGTGAACTCTAAGGCTTGTTAAGTTTTGCTTGGTCTGTGTGAATTACAAGGCAAATTCGTTCCCTAAAAGCAAAGTAGAGAAGATACAAGACAAGATAAAATTATGAGTGGGTGCTCTTTGCTAATTAAATTCAAACTCCGGGCTCTTTACATCAGGGTACCATTTCTACCTTTCAGTTCTATTTCCCACATAAATTTGACCAACAAAAGCCAAAATTCTGCCACTTTTCTAAATAACATCAGCCAACATTCCCACTTCCACATCTGCATTCGTATGGTTCTCTGCCCAATCTGCTCATATCACATATATACCTACACTGCATTTGCACATGGCCTATTAGAATGAAACTTCTCTCTGGGATCAGAGCAGAGGGCTGCCCTCTGACCGACCCACCAGATGATCTCTGCACAGTCGAAAGTTCCAGTGGACAGGCAACTCGCCTGCTCCCACTTAAGCACGTGGCAAATCCAAGGTCTCAGGATCCTGGGATCGAGCCCTGCGTGGTGGGGGGCGGGGGGTGTCTCTGCTCAGTGGGGAGCCTGCTTCCTCTTCTCTCTCTGCCTGCCTCTCTGCCTACTTGTGATTTATGTAAAAAAAAAAAAAAACTTAAAAAAAAAGAAACTAAAGACAAAATTCAGGGATCAAAAGTACAATATTAGCACAATAAACCTACACAGTTCTTTTTCATGGTATTGGCCTTGAACTGAATGGCTAGAGAATTATATTAAATCCAATGCATTAAAATAGTAAAATAAAAACAGCTTTTGGCCAGCTATAATTCAGGGATTTCTATGGAAGGGGAAAATTATACATAAAGTGAGTAAAATATTAAGAATTTTTAAAAACTTTGGTTAGTAAAGGTAGGCAGAAAAGAGAGTGTACTATTTTATGGTTATTTTCCATAACTTTTTTTTTTAAGGCTACACAAAGGAAGACTTCATGTTGATTTAAGTCAAACACAAATGATAAAAGATTGAAATTTTAGGGGCGCTTGAGTGGCTCAGTGGGTTAAAGTCTCTGCCTGCGGCTCGGGTCATGATCCCAGGGTTTTGGGATCGAGCCCCACATCGGGCTCTCTGCTCAGCGGGGAGCCTGCTTCCTCCTCTTTCTCTGCCTGCTTCTCTGCCTAGTTGTGATCTCTGTCTGTCAAATAAGTGGGTAAAATCTTAAAAAAAAAATCCATTTAAAAAAAAAGATTGAAATTTTAAAAACACCTATTTCAAGTTCCTCAGCTCTGACGCTAAATATTAGGGGTCGGGGGACATTTAAGGCTTAGCGTAGTGAGTGGTATAAGAAGAAATTCCTGGCGTGGGGGATACAGAAAATCTACTCTAGAAGAGACTTGATTATATTCCATAGGGGACATCTAGACACATTCTGTTAAAGAGCACCCCCCCCCCCCCCCCGAAAGCCAGATTTCTGGGCTTGAATCAGACCACTGTACATAAATGACCCTGGTGTGGGCAACCTATATGTATGTAATCAAAGGTGTTTTCATTCTTTGCCCTTCGTTTAGGAATTCAACTGATATTATGTCTAAATCATTCCTCATAGTGACTGTATTCATCTACAGGAAAAAAATCATATCCAGAGTGGCCAACTGGGTATTAGGAGTGAAACCACAGGCCTTACGTACCTGGTACCTGGGTCAGAATGTTACCTCAGAATAATATAGCCGACACACACCAGTGCTGCTTTGCGTCCCCACACAGGGTTTATGCCTCCAAAGCCAATTAGAACATTACGCTGAGTGAAGGAAGCCCATCACAAAAACTGCATATTGTATAATTCCATGTATATGAAATGACCAGAATAAGCAAATCAAGAGAGACTGAAAGTAGATCATGGTTGCCTAGGGCTCAGGGAAGGAAGGATGGAGAGATTGAGGAGGTGATGATGTTTCTTTTTGTGGTAATGAAAATGTTCTAAAATTGTCTGTGGTGATGGTAGCATGACTCTGTGAACACACCAAAAATCATTCAATTGTACATTTTAAATGGCTGAATTATGTGGAATGTGATTATATCTCAATAAAGCCATTTTTTAAAAAAAGCTAATTAGAAACTCTTGAGTCTTTAACTGGAACTGTAATGAGCAATTAAGTGGAGAATGTCCTTCTTGTGCCTTTTTTTTGCAGGGTAAAGTGTTTTTTCAACTCACAGATGTGACTGTGTCTTCAACAGTTATCTTTATTAACCATGGATCTGAAGTGGGAAATGAGTTTGAAATACCCCTGTACTTGAGAAATCAAACACATTCATCTTCAAAAGGTAGCAATAAATGTTATCAAAGTAAAAGACCCATTAATAAATAATTAGACTTCAGATAAATACTAGGAAGACACTTAAAGAATTTGTTAATTTTTAAAAAGATTCCAAACAAGAGCTTTGGTATTTTCTTAATGGAATAATGCTTAATGTTTATGAGTATATCTATGATATCTACATACATTATCAACAAACAATACTTCAGAACATCATCTTCCTTGAAGTACTCTTAATCTAAAGATACATTTGTTCAAAATCTTTAAAAAAAGGGGGGGGGCGCCTGGGTGGCTCAGTGGGTTAAAGCCTCTGCCTTCAGCTCAGGTCATGATCCCGGGGTCCTGGGATCAAGCCCCGCATCAGGCTCTCTGCTCAGCGAGGAGTCTGCTTCCCCCATCTCTCTGCTTGCCTCTGTCTGTCTACTTGTGATCTCTGTCAAATAAATAAACAAAATCTTAAAAAAAAATAAAGATACATTTTTTTCTTCATTTTCCATACCCTTTATTGACTGGGAAAGTTATTAAATACCTGACTCTTAGTTTCTTGATATGTAAAATTTCATGAGGACTAAATGAAAAGTACACGAAAAGCCCTTTGTGTATTAAGCAGTAAAATGCTATCTGCAATATTCTTTACCTGTTTGAAATATTCAAACACTGCTAAGCCCAGCTAGATAGCACATTGTACATGGCTTTCCTCTTTTCATTTCCAGTAACAAGGGAACCATACCAACCACCCCACAGACTCTGAATTACGTTGACATTCCTGATATTATGTGTTTAGTAAATAAATCATTATGTTATAAATACCCTAATCCCTTTCACAGTCAAACCATCTTTTAAGAATTGCTTAGGCTTACTTTTTCTATTTCTCACTGTGTACTTCCAGACCCATTAAAATTCACCTTACCCCTATGATGAAACTGAGAAAATGCTCTCATGTCACCAAGGAACCCATCTTACCCATTCTGCCTTTTTTCCTCCCTTTCAAATCTCACCTTGGCTCACTGCCCAACAGGATTCCACTCCGTTGAACCCTTGGTCTTCCCGAAATACTTTGTCCCTTAGGTATGTGCCCCCACCCTTGGCTTCTTCCCACCTCTGACCACCCTCTCTCTTTTGCAGCCTCATCCTTCTGTACTCAACCATTACATGTGAAAGTTCTTTACCATTTCTTTTCTTGTTATGTTATGTTCTCTACTTCGAGAAAATCTCATGCAGCTAAACACTGCAGTAACCATCACTAGGACTGTGACTCCCAAGGTGACAAGTCTAGACCATGGTTTCACCTCCAAAAGAGCTTTTGGATCTGTCACTCCCCACCAGGCTGCCTTAGTATCTAATTACCTGGTCTTCCCACATCTACCCTTGCCTCCTTTGATTTGCTCCTCACAGTGAAGTCAGTGATCTTTATAAAGCATACATCTGATCATACCCATCCCCTGCTTAAACCTTCCATTACTCCTACAGATTGGCCCTTCCGAGGCCCTGGATGGCCTGCCTCCCTCTACTCTTCTGGCCACACTCTGTAGTCCAGCCACATGGTCCTCTCCCAGTTCTTCCAAATATGATCAGTTCCCTCCCACCATCAGTGTTTTCCTTTGCCAGTGACATTCTCCTCTACAGCTAGTAACCAGGCCTAGGTAGTGGTTAGTCATTGCTTTGATCTCGGCTCAAAGGTCACCTCATCACTATTTCTTTTCAACCCTCTACTCCATACTAAGGAGGTCTTCTCTGTTATAGTCTTATAGCACTGTATACTTCTCCTTTGTAACTTTCATGATTGGCCATCTCTCTTGTTAGGCAGAAGGAGGGTACTTTGTATACTGTTGTATCCCCAGCATCTACTATAATGTCTAGCCTAAAGAAGATACTCAGTGACAATTTGCTAAATAATGAATACATTACCAAATGAGTAGAGGGAGGTCTTACACAATATACATGCAGTA